AATTCCCTCCCCAAGGGACCCCACCCCGAGCCAAGCTGTGAAAGCTCCGGTCTAGAGGCAGGTGCTGTCCCTCCTTCCCCACAACTTGCCAGCTCCTCGCAGTTCAGTCTTCAGCCCCTTGTGGCAGTGACCCAGGTTTACACTCACGGTGGCCACCAGGCAAGTGCCTCACTTCCTGCTGTAGGGCAAGGCGCTCCCAGGATCCTGGAGCTGAGTCCTGTAAGGGCTGGCCAGGGTATCGCTGCCAGCTGCACTGGACGCCAGTCCCTCCAAGCACTTGCCTCTTCCCCCTGCAGCAAGGTCATGGTGCTGGAGTTCAGCTGGCCTTGCTGCCCAGCCCTGCAGTAAAACACAGGTTCCGCTGGACCTCCTACCCAGACTGCCCCTGGTGAGGCCTGTACCAGTCCAGAGGTACAGGGATCTAGAATGGCCAGGGTATCGCTGCCAGCTGCACTGGACGCCAGTCCCTCCAAGCACTTGCCTCTTCCCCCTGCAGCAAGGTCATGGTGCTGGAGTTCAGCTGGCCTTGCTGCCCAGCCCTGCAGTAAAACACAGGTTCCGCTGGACCTCCTACCCAGACTGCCCCTGGTGAGGCCTGTACCAGTCCAGAGGTACAGGGATCTAGAAGGATGTTACCCCCCCCCCCCCACACCCACGGTGCTCGGCGTGTCGACAGGCGAACAGCTGCGCGGAGAAAAGCATCCATAACTCCACGCTAGCACGCTGCAACGGCCAGGCCACCAGGCAAGCGGGCAGTGTAGGCCACCTGCCAGAGGCAGAGGGGTGTCCCGTCTCATCCATTTCTGGACTGTGGACAGAGGGAGGGGGTTACTGGCTCCCCAGCTCCCATGTCCCAGCCAGGACGGTGTATGGCCGGCTTTGCCTGGGAGGGAGGGCAGGCACCAACAGGTGCCACCCAACCCTTCCCCCACAGCCACCAAGCTGCCAGGACTGAGGCAGTGCCCATGGAGGAATTGAAGGCAGCAGCAAGAGACCTCAAGGCATCAAGTCCAGCCTCCTGCCCAAAGCAGGACCAACCCAACTCAACCATCCCAGCCAGGGCTTTGTCAAGCTGGGACTTAGAAACTTCTAGGGATGGAGATTCCACCCCCTCACCAGGGAACACATCCCAGTGCTTCCCCACCCTCCTAGGGAAATAGTTTTTCCTAATCTCCAACCTAGACCTCCCCCACTGTGACCTGAGCTCCTCGTTCTGCCATCTGTCCCCACTGAGAACAGCCTCTCTCCAGCCTCTGAGGACTCCCACCCCCCTTTCAGGGAGTTGAAAGCTGCTATCAAATCCCTCCTCACTCATCTCTTCTGCAGGCGAAATCCCGTCTCTTCTTGTAGGTCATGTGCCCCAGCCCCCTCATCACTTCCCTTGCCCTCTCTCCAATGCATTCCACATATTTTCTGTAGTGCAGGGCCAAAAACATAACGGCCAGACTGGGTCAGACCAAAGATCCATCTAGTCCAGTATCCTGTCTGCCAACAATAGCCAAAACCAGATGCCCCAGAGGGAGTAAACAACAGGTAACCATCACATGATCCCTCTACTATCATCCATTTCTAGACAAAACAGAAGCTACCATTCCTACCCATCCTGGCTACTAGCCATTGATGGACCTCACCGCCATGAATTTATCTAGCTCCTTTTTGAACCCTGTTAAGTTCCAGTCTTCACCACATCCTCTGGCAAGGAGTTCCACAGGCTGACTCTGCACTTCATAAAGAAAAACTTCCGTTTGTTTTAAACCTGCTACCTATTAATTTCATTTGGTGACCCCTGTAACTTTTCCTTATTCACTGTTTCCAGACCAGTCATAATTTTAGAGTCCTCTATCATATCTCCCTTTAGTTTCCTTTTTTCTAAGCTGAAAAGTCCAAGTCTTTTTAATCTCTCTTCATATGGGACCTGTTCCGAACCCCTAACAATTTTTGTTGCCCTTTTCTGAACCTTTTCCAATGCCAAAATATCTTTTTTGATATGAGGTGATTACATCTATATGCAGCATTCAAGCTGTGGGTGTGCCATGGTTTTATGTAGAGGCAATAAGATATTTTCAGTCTTATTCTCTCTCCCTTTAACGATTTCTAACAGTTTGCTTTTTTGACGGCTGCTGCACACTGCGTGGATGTTTTCAGAGAACTCTCCACGACTCCAGGATCTCTCTAGTGTATGTCTAGTTGGGGTTATTTTTCCCAATGTGCATTACTTTACATTTATCCACATTACATTTCATTTGCCATTTTGTTGCCCAATCACTTAGTTTGGTGAGATCTTTTTGAAGCTCTTCACAGTCTGCTTTGGTCTTATCTTTGGTCTATCCTCTGCAAATTTTACCACCTTTTTACCCCTTTCTTCACATCATTTATAAATAGGTTGAATAGGAAAGGTCCCAGGCCAGACCCATGGGGACACCACTAGTTACCTCTCTCCACTCGGAAAACTGACCATTTATTCCTACCCTTTGTTTCCTCTCTTTTAAACCAGTTATCAATCCACGAAAGAACCTTCCCTCTTATCCCACGGTAACTTACTTTACTTAACAGCCTTTGGGGACGGACCTTGTCAAAGGCTTTGTGGAAATCTAAACACACTGTATCCACTGGATCCCCCTTGGCCACGTTTGCTGACCCCCTCAAAGAACTCCAGCAGATTAGTAAGGCAGGATTTCACTTTACTGAAACCATGTTGACTTTCCCCCAACAAATTATGTTCATCCATGTGTCTGGCAATTTTATTCTTTACTATAGTTTCAACTAATTTGCCCGATACTGACCTTAGGCTTACCAGTCTAATTGCCAGGATCACCTCTAGAGCCCTTTCTGAATATTGGCATCATGTTAGCATCCTCCAGTCATTCGGTACAGAAACTGGACGCAACACTCCAGCTGTCCATGTTACAGCTGTTCATATTCCTGCACCAAGCACATACCTACACATTGCTGCCCCCCTTCTGTTCTCGTGTTTATCTGCTCAGCCATTACACTTAGCTCCCAGAACATTCCTTAGCTCTCACTGCCTAATGCCTCCTTCAGATAAAACCACAATTAGAGACCCCCTAATTAACCACCCCCTAATCCAGGTATATGCTCTTACACCTACTGGCCACACCTCAGACATGTGGTGTACTGTCCCAGCTACATAGCTTCCCCTCCTTTTCCCACCCCCACGCCAAGTGGGGAAACCCATCAGTGAAATGCACACGACATACAAACACACGCTTCTTTATTGTAGGAGACACTTGTGTGCTCCACATTAACTCCCCCCCAACGTAAAACTCTTTAAAATGATTACAGTTCATCCATGTGCCAGGCAACGAGGACGGAGGAGCGAGCCTGACAGGTCCCAGCTGGGCTCTGCCCCGAACGCCTACCCAGGCAGGCAGAGAGTGTTCCCTTGCCATTGACTCGCCGTAATAGCCCTGCTTTCCTGAGCACGTGCATTGCTGCATGGAAAGAAACCAGTAATGAGGCACATTGTGCAACAAGAAGGTGCGGTGCTGAGAGATGCTCCTTCCAACAAGTGGTAGTTAGTTAATGCAATCGGGGGCGGCTTGTTAGTCACCTCCACCCTCCAGTATCTGGCACTGCTCACACTGACCTGGCTCCTGTAACAGCGGCTTGTGGGGCTCCATCCTGCTGGGAGGGAAATCGGGCCCTGGGTGACCTGCCCCCCGGCTCTCATCTGTGCTGGACGGTGATCAGGCTGGGCTGCATGCTGCAGAGCTTGGTGGAGGGCAGGGCCCAAGCAGCAACCAGCCTGCTAGTGCCTCACGCCAGCACCACCTCCTGCGTGCTGTCTCCACCTCTGCAAAGGGGCCCACAGACAGGAAGCAGCACCGAAAGGGCACCTCATCCAGCCAGGGGAGACGTTTAAGGCAAATCATGTTACATTCATCTCAATCTCCCCCAGCTGCACTGCACACGGGTAGGACAGGGCACGTGTTGGTGCATCAGATTCCTGGTGAGGACTGGGGGCAGCCACTGATGTAAGGACACCCCAAATAAAAGAGAGTCCAGGGAGTGGTGAAGTAGGCAGCAAAGGACCAAGGCTTTATCCGTCCTGCCTCTTTAACCTTTGCATCGGGCCAGAGGGTTAGCATCCCTGCTCCTCTCTTGCTGCCTCCCCTAGGAGAGAATAGAGCTGGGGCTGTCCTAGAGTTGCAGGGCTTTGCACTCTTGGTAGTCACATGCTGGTGGCTTAAAAGCATGTTGCTTCTCTAGCTACCCTGCCCAATGGCACCAGCAGGGTCTGCACGGCGGGGAGAGGTCACTGCAAGAGGGCACCTTAAGGAGAGGGCAGTAGAAGAAACCCAGCCCACCAGTCCCCTCTGGAGCTGTGCCTGGTGAGGGGCTGCTCTGGCCTAGCTACACACACACACGACAGTGCTTGACATTTCACAGGTCTCAACAGTTAAACTGACCGGAAAAGAAAAACAGATTCATGGAAAATATAAATTTCTTTGCTTTACAAGATGGGTGGGAACCCGAACCCCCGGGCACCACCAGCCTTTTAAAATCAGTTGTACAATATTGGAGAGCTGGTGTCACCAGTTCGAAGGCAGCCCATGCCAGACACTAGGCCAGAATTCATGTGGGTGCATCCAGCTGCTCTCCCACACTGCATGGCAGGGGCTACCTCCCCCCACAAGAGTGTGTGTGTGTGGGGGGGAGGGGATTACATTCCAGGCAGGACTGGCGTCCTGCGTGTCCATTCTGCTCACATGTCCGTCCAGCTGGCTGTGGGGGACGGACACCCAACCAACTGAAGCTCAGTCACTTTCAAACTTGATGGAATTGACCTGAGTAGAAATGGAGCCTCCGGTGTAACTGCCTCTCTTCTTCTTTGTCTTCTCGTGGCGGAAGGATTTGCCTTTGGTGAATTTCAGGATGTTGTTGGCCTTCTCTCCCCAGTCGCCTGCAGATCCTCTCTGAGACACAAGAGGGGCCAGGTCAGCACTCCACGGCCAACACCACGCCCTGCTTTGTCACTAACCGCTTCTAAGGGCAAAAGGAGTTTTCACCCCGTTTCTGATGGGGGCCGGGAGTTCCCCACAACCAGGGCTCATGTGCCTCCCAGTACAGCCTCCTGGTGGGAGAGGCTCAGACTGGAGAGCTCCCCACAAGCACCATGGAAACCCCTTCCCAGAGGACCCGTCTCCCAGGGATACAACATGCCAGCCTGTCGCTCTGGCTGCCCTCAGCCCTACCTTTGCATCGAATGAGTTGTTAGCCAACCGGGAATCCAACTCAATCTCTTCCTCCCTCACTCTCCGGAACGGCACAGCTGGCTGTTAGAAAAAACACAGATCGCCTGACGTCAATCACTGCGCACGGCCGTCCCTTGGCGGGCCCACCGCAGGCACGACGCTAACTGGATGGAATCCCTCCTTGTTCCCTGGTCCAGTTCTCCAAGCCCCATGACCTGTGACCCCCCTCCCCCCACTCCGACAGTAAGGGCAGTAGAGGGGGGCTCTAGAGGGAGTCCGCCAGACAGATGCTGGGACCACAGCGTGCATCTTCTCAGGGCTCCACGTAAGGGGTATGTCGGCTCCCCCTCCTCTGGCAGCCTATCGCCTGCAGCCTTGACCAGCAGGGAAAGCAGCGCAGATTGCTGGGCCAGAGGTAAGAGCGAGCCTCCCCCAAGCCAGCAGTTTCCTCCCTCCCTCCCTCACCTGCTTCGCCTTGGGAAAAGAGTGTGGTGTCGTAGTCTTGATCTTCATCTTCTTACTGCCCGATGTCTCCAGTTCCTG